TCTGTTTTCAAGAGCAATGATTCTGAACATAAGCAATCTACAAGAATCATACAAAGTAAATGTTTATTTAATCATAAAAAAATGAATAATTTGTCACATTCTTCACATATTAAGAAAGCTGCAAGTATTGTCCCTCGATACAACTTGATTTCCAACTATAGGTATTTTATTTTTTTTATCTTTTAGCCCGATCTCTTATCTGTGATGATGAAAAGCAAAAAATTCTAGCATTTGAATTTATTTTAAAAAAAAAAAGGAAAATTAACTTTTATTAAATCCTACAAAATGATAGAAAAATATGTGGTTTAAACAACAATTAAGCCTGTACAAATACCTTAACAACTTTTTACAGATTTTTTTTTGTGTATCCCAAATCCTGAAAATTTCATCTCAAAAATAAAATTTTATTTTTTTTAACATTATTTTTTAGTTCTCCCTCTGAGAAGCTCAAGCTAATCATATCTTTATAAAAACATAATGACGACATCATGTATATATTATAAAAGGGAAAATAGCGTAATTTCTATTTCTTTACAAACACCTGTTGTTATATCTTTCCTTTAATTTATACATACTAGTACCAGGGTTGTTCCAGAAAATATTCAATATTTTTTTCACAGAATTGTTGTTCTTTTATTTGTTTTATCAAAGAATAGTTTAGAGAAAATTACATATTTATAAAGATATATATTATTAATATATTTCATTATATCTATTTCATTAAATTCCACTAGTAAGAAGTCAGAACTAGTTTATATTTTGTACAGATTTTCTTCAACGTTTCTGTAGAATGCATAAAGTTTGAATTTTACTAGTGAAAACATTTGCTTATAAAGTGATCAAACATAATCATCAGAAAATAAAGAAAATTTTGATTATTTCCTCATTCTTTTTGTTCATGGAATTTATCATAATCCATTCATCAAAACTCCTAAACACTGTTGTATTTTCCTCTATCTTTTTATATAAATAAACATGTAATAGAGCAATCCAGACTTATCATAATTTATTTGTAATAAGCATAAATTGTTAAATTACGCGTTTGATTTACAAAGAGCAGCCTGGAGAAAATTTTTCAAATGGATTCTCTCTTTGACTTTGGTACACGGTGCGTATGTTTTAAGTAAATTGACCCTGAACGAAAATTACGCTTTCTTTTAATATGGACGAAGCCATGTGCTGCTTTGCTACTTATAAGAGCATTTGATGAGGTAAAATACCTTGTATAATTACCTTTGAATGTTTGAAGTCTTCTTGAATTTCGTATACAACGGATTTTTGGGGTGATTAGGTGTTTTAAACTACGATTTTATGTGATTAAGATATTGGTTACTAAATACAAAATTAAAAATTACTCAAACCAACAAACGTCTATTTCGGCAAAAAATTCCTGGGTGTTCTAAGAGGGAAGAGGTCATGTTATACAAACCCATTTCCCTCCCAGAATGTCCAAAATATCAAGTAAGACAGTTTAAAATACTGCTGCATATATTTATCATCTTTTCCCTATCATCACTTTATTGCTTAATAAATGACATTAATTAATCTCAAAGTCCTTTGAAACAATACCAGTTCCGAGCAGAGCAAAAACGGACTAAAATTCAGGTTGAAAATGTAATCTGGATTTCAAACAAATCTCTTGATCACAAAATTGCGTGCCCCTCGTCATGATCGGAAAACAATGAAAATATCCGTCAGTATATACTAGTAAATGATAACAAAAAAAAAAAACGTTCTCATTTAATCAACCAGGGCTGTTCAATAAATAATTTAATGACATACAATATAGAAATCATATGACATAAAGTTTGACTTTCTCTCATAAGTGAATCTTTAATGAATCGATTACAGTTTATGTGACCACTTTTCAACAATATTATTCATTTAAAATCCAAAACAAGGGCTTTTCCGCTGCATTATAAATGAATACCTGGTAATAGAATGAAATATAATGAAATTAAACGCTTTATCTCAAAAGTCCATGTAAATACATATTTGAAGCAGAACAAAAAGAAATATTCATTGAAATATGTGAAATTTACAGCAACTAATGTCTGTTTTATAGACACATGAACAGGTTCTTTTCACCTTGTCAACAAAAAACAAGATATAATGAGCATATATAATTAAATGATAGCCTAACGTCCTTGGTGACAAAGACTTACAACAACCAATGTGCTGTTTGCCAAAATTTAACAAATAATCACTGATGATATTTGATGGAATTTAAGACACGTAGCAAAATTGATAGGCATCATTTTTTGGGAAGTTTACAATGTTTTAAAGAAACAGTTAACGGTAAAAAAAAAAGTTTAGTACTCAGCGGACACCCTATGTTTGGAAAAATGAGTGAAAACGGACAGCGTGTAAGAATCTCAAAACAATTATTTTAAAAAAAATCAAAAATTGAAGTTATCCACCTTTGTTTGAATTTCAAACAGATAGTGAAACTTGAATTCATTGCTTTAAACCCTCAAAGCACATTTACAATAAGATGCACTTGACATAAAAGCTAAAGTCTGAGAAAAGCAAAGAATTGCAAAAGCAAAAAAAATAGCTTTATATGTAATTTTCTTAAATATTAGTAGTCCCGTTGTTCAAATTCTTATTCGCGGAGGCAGTCCAATTTCTGGAGAAGTATAGGAAGCAATTTTTGCAAAAAAAATCAAAAAGTTTATGAGAGGATGGGACTAGAATCAGGAATCCACTACATGAAATTTCTTCATGACAGCCTCGAAAACCACACGTCATGAATAGTAAAGTAGTTTTGGGGAAAAACAGAAAGTTAATGTTTTGTCGCATCAACAATATTCGCAAGATCTTTCACCCTTTCACTTGTTTCATTTTTAAAACTTGAAAAAACACCTTTCAGATAGAAGAAACGAGTCAAGGAAATCATAAGATCTGCCAGATGCCAGTATTCGAAGGGCCATACTCAAAAATGTGTTTTAAAAACAATCAGCAATTGGATTAAAAAATAGTTACGGACATGCTTTTCAATTAAAAGAGAATATTAAGTAAAATCATTCAGGATAAATCCTTGAAAAGGGTCTTTTGTTGCTTTGCGAGCAACGAGGACATTTTTTTATTAAACAACCCTCATATGATAGAGATTGTATTTGCTAAGAAGGTAATTGTATCGAAAATAGAACTGACTTTAACTGGGAACTTAGCTATTCTTGTTTCGTCTTTTTTAGTCAATAACTTATTAAAAATTAAAATTAATGTGACTGAATCACAAACAGATCTTTGATTATCAAAATCGATTCACAATATCATTATTATACTAGGATTTTTTTCAATTATACTATAGGTATTCAAATGAAATGCCAGGCTTTGCTTACAATTTCCAAATACGCAACAGAGGGAACAGAAGGAATAATGCAGTGTGACTTTCACATAGAAAATTCCACAGCACACGTTGTATGGTACAATAACCGTGACCACAACATCAGTGTGTGTAATTATCCGGGTTACTGTGAGTTCCCTAATCACCAGAGATACGAGGCTTTTATTAACAATCGGTACTCCTCGTTTGTTATCTCTGCAGCCAGTTATTATGAGGATGACGGAAGATGGTATTGTAATGTTAATGGGCTGGCATCATCAATGAATTTCACAGTTACAAGTACGTGGCAAACAAGAAATCTATGAAGTTTTTTTCAAAAAATATTTGATGTTTTATTTTAACTTTCAAAATTATTTCAGGTATTCCAAAAGATTTTAGATTTACTAATCCGCCCATATCCGGAGTGTCTATACCTGATGATGGTGTTACGCTGAACGCAACAGCAGTATGCTTGTATCCCAAACCTCGCAATGCCACCATGTTGTACCGAATAAAGGTATACAGTACTTTATTGTTATTCGGGTCTTTATGTTGTTTTATTATTAAAGTTTCAAATGCAGGAGACGTTAACAACTCTGATTTTTGTGTTTATGCATTTCATAAAGTAAATTTGGAATGTTACCTGTGATCAAAAGGTTAAAAAATGTTAATGTAAACATTTTCCTTCATTGACAACTTGAAATAGCTTTACCATATTTCAGGGAGATCAACATTTTAATGTCTTTCAACGAAGAGTTCCTGTAATTGAATTTAACGCGGGACATTCAGGAAATTGTCTATCACATCAGAGTGTAATGCTTGTTTCAAACAGTCTATTCAACGCCGATTTTGATTTTGTGATGGATACTAGCGTACTGTTTCAATTTTCCTACAAATTACAGTCTGGCATAGAAAAAACAACAGAAGATGTGGTGGATGTAAAATTTTCCAGCAGTAGGTTGTTTATAATTAATTCAAATACCAAGATAATAAACCATGAAAACGGTTGGCCAATCCATGCCATTTATAATTTGTTTGTTTTTTGTTTTGTTTTGTTTTGTTTTGTTTTTTATTATTTTTTTTTTTTTGTTTTTTCAGGTCGTGAGATAAGAACCTCGACTTCCAAAATTAATGCTAAAACGGGTACGAAATTGTAACTTCATGCATTTCACTTTAAATTTTCTCTATTTTTATTGAAGGTTAAAAACAATTAACACTCGTTACTCTTTTCTATGGTCATACTTATAAATAAATTACCTTACAGAAATAAGCACAAAGACGACAGCTTCCGGGAATCTGCAAAACAAATCTTCCAGCCCCTTGGGTAAATACAAAAATACAACTTCTGTACATATATTTACGATATCCCTTTCGCAAATTAAGAAATAAAAATATCAGGCATCTTATATTGATAAATTTCAAAATTTTGTCACGTCTTCATAATATCACAACAATGAAATCTCATTAAATTTTAAACGGAAACAAAATAAATTGTAGCTTTATGACATACATATTATTTTTTGTTTCAGAAAATTTGTTAATACCAACAGTTTCGATATTAGTCATATTATTAGTACTAGCTACAGCATTCATAGTAGTGTGTCTGTGTAGAAAAGAAGTGCCCCAATGTCCATCAATTCCTTATATTTTATTCAAGAATACAGAATCCGAAATGACTTCACGGTATAGCGATATATCCCTTAACACAGACAAAGATTCAACAAGAAGGAACGTATATAACACTGAAGAAAACAAACCGGTAGAAATGAATACACAAACCCATGAAATACTTAGAAATAAATCGCAAGAGAAAAACACCCAAGTAGAAAAACTAAGTCAACAAGAAGGCGTAGATGCACCAAAAGAAAATAACGATAATGAAAATGTTCGTCGTTTAAAAAAACGAAATCATAAACCTAATTCTGATCCAAGAAATTTGCAATCATCTTCGAAAGGTACGTCCATTAAGAAAAGTGGTCAACAAAATATCAACTATCAAACCAATTCAAGCAACAGAAACATATCTGAACAGAAACCTGCTTTACGGGAAAATACATATCCTATTCCAGGTCAGATACCAAGTCATCAAAATACTGCTCAAACAAATCTCCTATCTCAATCTGTCCCTAATGAAGATCTTTCTACTAACACTAAAACTCCACCAAAGCATTCGACTGAAGAAACTTGTAAAGAACGAAGGGAAGACTCCAAGAACAAAAACACATGCAATGACAATAAATCTTCTACAGGAAAACAAGGTGAAGAGAATCAAATCAAGGGAAAGGGAAAAAACAGAAACGGTGACGAATCTGTTCAGAGAAATATGTCAAACTTGAATATCCATCCTAACACATCGGGTATAAATGCGGAAAACGATTTAGATGTAAACAAAAATAAGAATAGATCCACAACATTTAAATATAATGATCATGGATTATCTCGGGGTCCGAACTCAATGCCGGCACTCGGTCCTCAAGGATATCAGAGGGAAACGCCGAAAAGCAATGAAAGCACCTCCCCTAATAATGATGACACAAACGGGCAATTTTCACAAGAAAATAAAACAAATAAAGGTCCTATAAACACTGATAAGGAAGGTAATCGGGAAGTGAACGAGGGAATGCGTGCAAAAAGATATATACCTGAACAAAAATCCGTTTTACAAGATAATAAGGCACATTATTTTCCAGGTTCGATATCAAGTCATCGTACAAGAGCTAAATCAGATTTTCTATCAAAGTCTCTTTCATTGCCATATGGAATTAGACAGCCTAGGACACAGGATATTTCTGCCAAAGATGATTTAGATTTTGTCAAAAAAATGTCCCCAACATTTAGCAATTATAATTATGACTTATATGGGGCTTCAAACTCAAACTCGGCACTCATTTCTTTTGGAAATAAGAAGAAATCTTCAAAAAACAATGGAAGAGCATCTCCAAGAAATGATGACACACACAGGCAAATTTCACAAGAACATAAAACAAATATTGGTCCTATAGACACTGATAAGGAAGGAAATCGGGAAGTGAACGAGGAAATGCGTGCGAAAAGATATATACCTGAACAAAAACCTGCTTCACATGTTAATAAGGTACATACCTTTCCAGGCTCGATATCAAGTCATCTTACAAGTGCTTCATCAGATTTTCTATCAAAATCTCTTTCATTTTTGCCATATGAAAATAGACATCCTAGAACACAGGATATTACTGCAAAAGATGATTTAGATGTAGTCCAAAAAATATCCCCAACATTTAGAAATGATTCAAACTCAAACCCGGCATTAATTTCTTTTGGAAATAAGAAGAAATCACCAAATAACAATGACAGAGCATCTCATAGCAATGATGGCTCAAACAAGCAATTTCCACAAGAAAATTATTCAGTTAGTGGTCCTACAAGAAATGATAAGGAAAGTAACGGTGAATTTAACGAGGGGATGAGTGCAAGTAAAGGGTCGGCTTCAGAGGACACAAAGGGAGAAGCCTTCGAGTGACAGAGTTAATGGATAAAAATAAATATACTAGCAAAGAAAAAAAATATATTCATTCCTACACTTAGAAAAGATACAACACGCGGTTTTAGATCGATAAAATACCTTATAAGGATAATATTTCACCCATTAATTGTCAAACTTTGAAACCAGTATGTGATAAACATCCATCTGTATAATAATATCTGTATAATAATGTGTAATGTGTATACATTTATAAAAACAACTATTAAAGAAGCAAAATAAAAGTTAAAGAGGGAAGTATTCACGTATAGTACGAGGGGTGATCAAAAAGTTCGCAAACTATCTCTATATTTACAAAATCACAACTCAGATCAAAATGAAATTTGGCACACATAAAGTCACATGTTCTTTAAATAGCATATGTAATGGAACGTTTTCCCTCGTGTTTGTGACGTCACAATGTGAAAATGACGTCATAAGGCAGATCACTTGTGACGAAAAATGATTGATTCAGTCGAATTCGAGAAATGAAAGGTGTAAAGTTAAGCGAATATGTATTAAAATTGGAGAGGACTACTTTGAAACATTTTCAATACTCAGAAACCCTGTATCATTTCCTATTTGGAAGTTATTCAATTAGTTCGCGAACTTTTTGATCACCCCTCGTATCCATGTATACTAGTGTTTATGAAATAAAGATTCAAAACTATTTGATAGTCATGTCGCAAAGTGAATTTTTCAAAGATATTGGAAGTGGTATAGTATATTAGTGATGTCGACTTTTTTGTTTTATATTTTACAAATCATTTTCATATTTGTCTGGAGAAGTTGAACACAATAGCAGCTAAATCTTACACTGACCCTGGTAACTGATATCCTGATATCTCCCCTTAAACTCCTTCAGATGTTTTAAGTTATATTCTTCCCTTTCAGAGTGTATACAGTATATGTAATGCATATAAGCCTCAAGAGTGTTCTTACAAATCAAAGAGTAGCTTCAGCCATAGATAAAAGAAAATGATGAAGATATCGCGTACAGTTCTCGATCTAAAAACAGGACTAAGTACAAAACAAAGAACATGACATATACAGAGACCCTGGACAGTAGGGATCAGGTGCTTAAGAGGAGAAAGCATTCCCTGTCGATCTGTCACCGTGTGCAAGACATATGCATTGATCAGGTAAATGTAGAAATGGTAGGCCAATGTTATTTTTTAAAAAAAAGGTCTCCAATCGATGTGAACTTATGAACAGTTTAAGATGAAATATCCCTCCAAATTTCACCATTTTTAAAGATACTTTATAAGACTAGACTTAAATGAAAAAAAAAGTTTGAAGTATGGGGCGTTGCTTACTCTTTCAGAAATGAATATTATGCCTGTTTATGGTGTGTAAAAAGTTAACACGGTGAATAGAATGCTCAATGTTTTTTTATCTCACCATAAAATTAGAAACTGGGGATTTATATGAAAAAAATTTACTATCATACCTATTAAATTCACATGTACATGTAGAAGACATAATGAAGCATTGCTTTTTAAATCAGACTATCAAGTTATTTCCTGTGTTTGTAAAATTAAAAAAATGCATCCAACTACAAGAATTATCTTTCCATCGAAAGGAGTCACCGTTTTTCAAAATAGTTTAGAGTGAAATATTTATTAATTGATGTTAAAATTTTTGCATCTAAAATTGCTGTAACAACTTAATAAAAATATATATAAAAATATGAAAATATAATTTATAAAAAGAAAAGTATGAGATAACAAACAGTATTCAATATCAAAGTCAATAAAACAATACAAAATTGGAGCAGAGCCAACATGGACCTCCGAAACATCAGAGGTCTGATCAGGTGCCATGGAGAAGTGAGCATCCCCTGCCGACCGGTCACACCCGCCATGTGCTCCTTGTCATGATGGGGAAATAATGGAAAATACATCGACTATTCAGTTGGTAAAGAATGGTGTAACAATTATGAAAAACGTCTCTCAGTTTTTGATTAGATGATAAATTGTATTTGCTGACAAGGTCATGATGAGTTAAAATAAACAAGACTGCTGATATTCTTGTTTTATCAACTTATTTCTCACTAACTTACCTCGCTTTAGAAACTGGTCGTACATAGAACATGCTCTGGTACACTGAATAAACTCAAAGATATAAATCTCTTATGCTGAAAGGGATTTGACGATTGAAAAGGTTAAGCAATATAAGCTGCATTATTTGAGAATTTTATTTTGTTGTTAAAATGTGTCTTTATGATTTTTTTAAATAATAAAAACCTGATCAATATATTAAAATAGTATTTTATAAATTGTTTCAAAAGGACCTTAGTGCCGTCAAATATTTAGTATTATTTAAGAAAACAATATTGTACAGAACGACAATAATGAAATGCATCATTTAGAGCTTGTTAACAGTACTAATATTGCAAATATAAACAACGAAAGTTTGTGAACGTTCTATTTTGTTTCTTTGAAATACTTTATGACAATGTAATTTCATGATAATTTTGCAACAGAATATTTTGACATCAAAGTTGAAGTTCATTTTTCTTCAAAGTCACCACGTTTATCACAAAACATAGTTGTTAGATTACCATTAATATCTTATTCTAGTAATACATCTAAAATGTTACATTAGAGTAACACTATGAGTCAAAATCATAACATTTGTATTTTACGATTGTAGCACTCTGAACTCTAATAAAAACATGCATTAAATAAGGAAAAGTTTTTAATTGCAAACAAAGTACTATGCTGAACAATAAATTTATTCTTCTCGTATCAATCTCTAGACACATTTACATTTAAACATCAAGTGAAAATATTTCCAGTTAAAGCAAAGTCTATGAATGAGATTCGTCTAGTTCGTTCTTTAACTTCTGGAGGTGTGCAAGACGAATGTCCCGCCATTTTCTTCTCTCGTAGAGTTTATCCAGCGGGATTCTGGCTGCGATTTCGTTGTGTATTTTTTCCAGAGTGGGTCCCTCCATTTTCTTCGGGGGACCAAACGAGCACTGAACTCTGTATAACGTCTCACGGTATAGGTCCCCAAACACGAGCAGTCCTATGATGAACGGAAAAGGGAAAAGCTTAATCTCATTAGAGTATCTGTTAACATAAAATATCATGTCTTATCTACTGTTTTCTAAAGCAATAAAATACGTTTAATTCTTGGTGAGTTAGACCGGGTTACCTGTTTCCAAAGTCATGTTCAACCCTAAATACGTAAGAAATGTAAAGGGTTTACTTTTTTGGTACTTTTGTCAGTACAAATTACGAATTTATGTATTTATAAGTAAGTACACATTACAGGATTAGTTAGAGGTGCACATGTAACAGAATGATTTGCTTCCTAAGCAATTGAACTGTACATTTGCGAAGTATAGGTTATCTAAATTGCCATTTAGCAGTATTAGCCATTACAGTGTATTTTGTCCAGCCCATAAGGTATCATTCCTCCGTGGCACCTGATCTCACCTCTGGTGTTTTGGAGGTCCGTGTTTACTCTGCTCCTATTTTGTATTGTTTAATGGACTTCTGAGCTTGAATACTGTTCGTTATCTCCATATGTGTCATTCCAAAGGTCAAAGTAAGAGATAAGTATATGCCACTCCCATTAAATATTTATTACAATAAAGTACGTTCAATTCAAAACTAGTATTCTACTGTTGTAAGTTATTTAGGAAGGAGACTGAAAAAAAAACCCTAAACTTACTTTCTACTATGGAATTGTCTAGAGAACTGATAAGAAGGTATAGTACGGCCAATAAACGCTGAACCAAAATTAAAATGTACACTTAAAACTCGGTTGCTTCTAAAGTGAATACCGTCGGCGTTAAGGTAGGTAACTTCCAGGGGACCCATGAAGGCGTACCTCCGTCCTAGTCCCTCCGACATCACCTTATCAATGTCTTCTGCACTCATTACCCCCTCCTAAAGACAAATAAAGAGTTGTTATACCAGGTTGAAGCTTTTTACATGAAGTTATATCAGACTTAAAAGTTGCTGGATACCGATAATACATTTCCTTTTAGTGATCACAACGATTGTTTCTCAGTGCTATTTTTAGAGTGATAATTCAAATCAAAGTACTGAAAGTACTCATGGGAGTTGAACATTGTTATGTGAAAGATCTCACAGGAAGTATAGGAACATCCTCAGGCATTCAGATTCAAGTCAGCTAGAACTGATTTGTTAGAGATACAAAACGAAACATTAAAAATGATTTCTATTGCATTTAAATAGCCAAGATCATGGGACTGCTCTTAAATTAGCTGCAGAATTGTAGCTCTCCGAAAAAAAATTGACAGACCGGAGAGCTACAGTGCTATCCATTGAAAAAACTGTATATTTATTGCGCACAAACAGTGAAGTTTAGTTCTGGATTAATTCTTTCTAATTCTTACCTCAACAATTTGACCAAACCAAACAAACAACCCCCATCACCAAAAAAATTTTTTTTCAAACTCGAAAGTACTATTTTTTCTGTTAGGTTTTAAACTTCTTTCAGTACCATTTATTACTAAAACTTAAACACTACCCTTATATTTCTGAAACATTTGAATCAAAATACCCCCTACTCTGTTTAGAAAATGTACAAGATATTTGGTCCCAAGAAACAAACAAACAAACACTCTTTATATTCGAAGTTACCATCACCAGACACTAGATTGTCATTTTTCTTCCTCTGATTAAAACAAGTATTTGCTATTCTCTTTTGGGTATGAATGTTTCTTTTCGGACACAATAATTAATTTTTATAGAACTCCATGCTTATCTATTTTATCAAATGTATCTCTCTTTATAACTTAATAATCAAGTTTTGTTATTCCATAATTTTAAATTTCATTTCAAGTAATATCTATATACGTAGAAGTAAGTATGTCTAAATACTTTACATTTTGTTTTTTTTTTACGTTCGATAATTTTTCAATCATATTGAAACACTTAGCTACAGCTACAAGTAAGTCTACAATTTTTTATCTATACACGGCTCTCAAAAGCATTGAGTAGTGAGGGATCATTTTGTGCAAGCACATACTGCGACATGGGATTTCGGTTTATATTGTCTCATCAACAGAGTTTATCTCCAAATGCATCACACAGGATTCGAACTTGCGACGTAAGGATCAATTAACACATTAAGTGGAATCTTTAGAGCAAACTATTTTTACAACTGCGCCACGCGAGTGAGACTTAAAGTTTGTGATTTTGATTTGATTCAAATGTAATTAAAAATCAGACATAGTTTAACGAGCTACTACAAGAAAAAAATAGTTGTAATCATGAGGAACGATCTTTCTCACATATCGATCATTGGGATTATCAGACCATTGTGTCTGTGCATACGCATGTATTCATTAATCTTAACTGTTTTAATTATATAATAAAATCAAATGATACATTTTATAAGGTAATACTGCAATACAAATACACACACATTTTTCAAGTTCAGATTTGGTGTTGTACACGTGACCAACTGAATGCTGATAAATTCATGAAATTAATGATGCAAAATTAATGTCATTTGAAATTGTGTGATCGAATATCAACAAACTTTAATGCTATTATTTTTTCCCTTTACCAAAGTTGCATGTATCTGGTCTGACAAAAATTTTCCAGTCTAACAGATCATTTTACTTGTCAGAGCAAATAAATATTTTCCGCAGTGTTTTTTTTTAAAGAAACGTTGTTCTGTCTCTTTATTGCTGAAACAAATTGAAAGAAGTTTGGTTAAACCTTAGCGTTCCTTTCCTTACATCTTTGTTTACGTCTCTATATTTAGACAATCGCGTCATTGTCAAACCAGTAAGACCAGTTGTTGCTCCTTGGATGACCTAGCACTTTTTGTAATGAAGCGTAGTGGAGTCAGCCGAGGAATGCCGAATGATAAAAGTCGGAAAACTGGGACTTTTTTTCATACGGAAATCAAAATTTATGTGTCATTTCTCAAGAAAGATGACAAAAACATCCTATTCAAATTAAGTTTAATAAAATTCTATTTCATTTACTTTCAAATCATTTGTGAAAATTAGATTAATTCAGAAAAATGAGATGGACTATTTTTATTGCGGAAGTTTCTTCGAGTTTATATAGACTAGTACGAGTTTGTATTGAATATCACAGGGGAGTAAATTGGGCGACACAGAAACACCACGACAACCGCTATTTAATTCATTGTAAAATTACTGCGCTAGAAACCGCTTGACAGCCTAGGGAATCTGAACATAGTTCAACTCCCAAAAATCAATCCAAGTACTGTTGTTATGAAATGAATCCAGATGAACGTGCACGTGTTAAGATAACCTCATACAGTCTCCAGCATTCCCCAACGATTGCGTATTGAATCCTATTGAAGACAAATCCGTCAATCTCCATCTCCTTCTTCACCAGAACGGGAACCTGTCCAATCTCTGTCATCAGTTCCTTGGTTGTAAATACCACCTCTGGGTCTGTCCACGGAGCTGGTATCACCTCAACCAAAGGGGCGTAAAATGGAGGATTCGTCTAAAAAACAGAATCTTACTCTAAATAATTACCGAATTTGAAGAGTAGTACTAGCATATGATTCTAAATATAAGAATTACCGGATGACAGACGATGAATCTGTTTTTGTTGGTGAGACCCTCAGAAATAAGAGACGGGACCAATGTACTAGTGGAGCTTGAGATAATGGCGTCCTTTCTACAGATGGAGTCGATCTGAGAGTGGACCTCCCGCTTCAACTCCAGTCCCTCGTTAACACATTCCTGCCAAATGATTAATACTTATTAGGTTAGATAAATTTCAATATTTTTAGAACATCAAGCATTTAAAATACTGAAATAATGAAACATTTCTTCCTTTATATTTCCAATGTAAACCGTTTTCCATTATCAAGTCATTCACAATCAAATTTCATTGATAAAACTTTCTTCGAGGTGGTTTCTCTCATCAATGTGGCCTACGGACCAATAATACAATATTTTTCTATCTTACGAAAAAAATTACATGAAATAGATAAAACAAAAATAAACATGTATCTCCATGTTTACTGTCATATATGTTAACCTCATAATAGCAGTACTTTTCTGATTCCTTTGAAATATGAACTGGGCCATGTTGTTCAATATAGCACATTGATAGTTACGCAAAGGTGCGTCAATGTTGCAACGGAGCAATAGCGCTATGATGAGGATGCGAAAGCAGACATGACTTCATCGTACAGTCCCTGAAACGTTCTACTTTCCCACCTGAATAGTGAATGAAGGTTGAACGAAAGGTGAACGAACGCAGAACGGTGAATGAACGATGTGCAAACGCTGGACGCAACTTGGTTAACGATGTGTGAACGGTGAACAGTAAGTGAACGCAGGACGCGAACGGAGCGCAAAGTTAACGGTGAACGTAAGATAAACGATTTATTCGGAATGATTCTTTTCCTCTTTTCCTTGCATAAAAATTATTCTTTAATTCTATTCTAATTTCATGTGCTAAAATATAAATAACAATAGATATATAACTAAATAATAAAAGCAATTTTTTCTGTACATACTTATTATGTTTTAAACCAATATTTTAATATCACGATTTTTATTGCCGTAAAACATGTGTACTGGAATGAAATGCATGTAGTATGAATATTAAATTTATCTACTTACATAGTAAAAATGCTTATTCTTTGAATTAATGAAATAATGTGGACTTTAGAAGATAAAACTACTACTTATAGTATGAATTAATTACGTTTTACCACGGTTGTAATAATCATATTTCCGTGCCAAGGCGATTCCGAGTCAAATAACGGATTTACAAATGTCTGTTGACGTATTCCAAAAATACATTCGTATTTCATTTTAATACAAAATATTATATATTCATGTGTTTTTTTATGACGATTATTTTAGCAAACTTCTTCATGTCCCGACCGTGAATATACTCGGACAAGATGATGGAAATAGGCATTCAAAATATTTTAATAGATTAAATTTTCAAAATCAAACCCCTGAATTCCACATTTCTGTAGAAAAAAAGTATTAAAATGAAATTGGAATTATACATTTTGAAATTCTGCCAATTTAAAATAACATTGTCGGCACTTGTATATTTTGAAATACTATAATTTGATGACTGTTTTGATGTTTGTTTTAAGACTGAATTAATTGAAATATACTGAAAATACTACCTAAGAAATCGATTTCGGTGTTGGGGATTAATATTTTCAGGAAGTTGTGTGAATCAGATGTGGATGCTCAAGAATTCCAAAGAACTTTTTGACAATTTGAAATCACGAGATTTAACAAAATTCAGCAGCTTAAAAACTTACGACTTTTAACTTTATACACAACCATTACCCACGATAAATTAACGTCCAGGCTTTTTGATATCACTGACAGCTGCTTTTTCAATAAAACTGGAACTTGTAAATTTACTTACCTGATCTTTGGTCATTTGAAAAATTATGTTGTTAAAATTCATTCTGATTGCATACACAAGTACTCTGAAGTTGACATAAAAAGATGCTTGAGTTTCTGGTTGACAATATCTTTGTAGTTATTTGGAGACCAGGTATTCCAACAATCTATTCCAATTGCGCTCCGTTATTAGCAGACCTATTTTTATATTCATATGAAGCAGAATTTGTGCCAAATCTTATGCGTGAAAAGAAGAAAACACTTGCTGTAGCCTTCAACTCGACATTTAGATATTTCGACGATGTATTGACAATTAACAATGGTTATTTCCATTCCTACGTCGATACTATATATCTTGGTGAGCTTGAAATAAAAGTTACCACAGAGACTGACACATATGTTTCATACTTAGATATTTAACTTGAAAAAGACGTTAAAGTTAATCTAACAACCAAGATATATGATAAACGTTATGACTTTAACTTTTTATAGCCAACTTTCTTAATTTACTAATGCAGAAATATACCTTCATTACCTGCGTACAGAGTGTATATATCTTAGTTGATTCGATACGCAAGACATGCTCTATGTATGAACAATTTCGAAAACGAGGTAAATTATTGTTAATTGAGTTGATGAAACGAGAATATCAGCAGTCTCGTTTAAAGTCGTTATTTCGTAAGTTCTATGGTCGATACAATGACCTTGTCAACAAATACAATTTATCATTGAGTCAAATGCTGACTGACGTCTTTCATACTTATTTTTAGTCCATTATTTACACACTGAATTGACGACAGTTTTTACCGTTATTTCTCAATCATGACAAGGAGCACACGGCGGGTGTGACCGGTCAGTAGGGGATGCTCACTACCCCCATGGCACCTGATCCCACCTCTGATGTTTCGGAGGTCCGTGGTTACTCTTCTCCTATTTTGTATTGTTTTATGGACTTTGATAATGGATACTGTTTATTATCTCCATATCCTTCCCTTAACTAAATATCTGCAATACTGTTCATAATTCTCAGAACTAGTTCCAACATGTTTTCAAGCATTTAAAAAAAAGTGTTAGAAATATAATTTTAATAGTTGCCGTTATTGGTAAATTAAAAGATTTATATTATTATCCATCCATTACCGATTTGTCGTCTTTTACATAACAACAAAATGTTGTCGTGCTTGAAGTACCGTTCTACATACATGTAAGTACGTAATGTGCTTATAACAACATTTATTTTCCAGAGAAATATCATGTATGAAGTAACAACTAAGTTATAATTATAAAAGTATTAATATTGTAGAAAAGTTTTCCCATGAAATAATAATTCTTCAAATAGGATATCTTAGCTATGAAATTAAAAAAATGTGCAAATCCCTACCATCAAAAAGATAAGTCCTTTCACCTCGGAGTTCCAAATGACAATAAAGACTGAACGGTAAGTGAACGCTGAACGCAAGGTGAAAGCAAGGTAGACCGAACGAAGAGCGAACGGTGAACGTTTTGTAAACGATGAACGCAAAACAGTGAACGGAGATCTAGAGCGAACAGTGAACGTATGCTGAACGAACGGTGAGCGAACGGAAAAATGGGAAAGTAGAACGTTTCGATCAGGGACTGTAAGTAAACGCACGTTCCTTACTGAATCATTGCCTTACCACAATCATTTTACAGCGTTAACGCGTTATTGCTACAACACGCAATCGTATCAGTTATCATTAATGTATAATCATGTCACTAGCTCATGCAAACCTCATTTGTGCAATTGTGCGATAATGAAATACATGGTCCTGTTCGGGATTACCATATTACTGCGTACAAACAACTGTAAGTACATGTGTTTACTTGTATAAAGAAGGCGTCCTTGACACACTCGGTAAAGTCGTTCGTTTCTGTGATTAATGATCTTTGCTCTTTGATTGTCAATTTTCCTCGCAATAATCCATTTTTAGCTAGATGCTGAAGTTGGTCGTCAATGATGAATAAAGCGTGCTGGATCTGTTCAGGTTTTATATCGTACATGCGCACTCGATATCCAGCTGCAGCATAAAGCATAGCAAAGCTATGCCCTATTAAACCACTAAAATTATTTATAATAAATATTCAATTTGTCTGAGTTATGCATTTTAAAAATTAAGATCTTCTACAAGAAGGGGTTTGATTTTAGCACTATGTAATGATCAAATCTTAGAAAATTGCAATTGCAAACTAATAGCAGAAAGATCTGTTACTAAGAAGGTATTCTGTTACCCATCTAATGAGAATTATATCTTTGGTCCGCTCCAACTAGATGGCTATCTACATGTAGTTAGAGAGGATGAAAGATCTAATTTTTATTAGATTGTATTGTTTTAGATTTAAACCTGATTAATGAGAGTGTTTGTAAAGTATGCTACCTTGGGGTTCATTATGTTCATATTTATTAAAAATTTATATATTTTAACTTTCAAATTTCTTTAATTCAAGTTTTCTCATGTCTCTTTGATTGAAGCGCAGATTTCGTGAGTAACCCTAGCGCTGTTGATATTTTCGAGCATGTTGAGATTCTTCTAATTTTAGAAAACTTTTTTTCCTCTAAAACAAGATTTCGTCAAATGAAAGCATTTCTATGTTAAATGTAAAGATAACGTACATTGACCGAAAAAAAAATTCTATAAATAATACAGATATTTGAAGAGGGCATAAAATTGGACACCTGGAAAATCCACAAATGGAATCAGGTAGCTAGGAGGAGTAAGCATCCCCTGTTTAACGGTCACACCGCTGTAAGCCCTATGCAATCCCTGTAACATCAACTTATTAGTGAGTAGCATGTCTCGCCGTAATTTAAAATGTGATCATTCTTAGAGGAAGTTCTCGAGTAGCAAATAAATTATATTCTGGAATTGTTCATCAATACAGATTGTTTTTTTTTTATTTTATTTAGTTTACAATACCAATGTTTGTTTTTTTTTAATTTATGTAGCAGTTAATAAAGCACGGGACTTCTTTTTATTGAAAAGTTTATCGACATTTGTTATAATAACTTGTTTGCTTTTCTTTATTTACAATTTTATTTATAAGACACCATGAATATAGAATTGAGAAAATTAATAAACCCAGTCTTCTGACTGACCTTCCTATGATCCCCACCTGACGATCCGACTTTCTGTCCGCCATATTGGATTGTGATCTCTAAATTATCTGCAGTTGCACGGTATTATCTGTGAATACAAACTACTGCTGTGTCATTTCACGTAGAAATATACATTGGATATTTAATTAAAGATTTAAAATAAAAATATATGAAATGTTATCTCTAGATATCACTGAATGACCTAGCTGCAGAACAGTAGCTCTCTAAAACCCTTACATTTACGCCAATGTTTTTTTCTGTCGCTCACTTCGGGTACTTTTTCTTGTATTTTATACTTTCCCTGGCTTTAAAACGGTATTTAATAGTTTTTGATAATCATACATTTAACTTCATTTCCTGATAATTTACTTATCTTTCAACGCTATCAAAAGACTTTTTGTGGTTACGGACGAAGAAATGGTACTCTTTTAAACCAACATTACAAAACTATTTGCAGGACTTTTTCGGACCGTTAAAAGGTAAAAGAAGTATCAAAAAAGTTATATATGACCAGAGAAAGCTCAAACTACACGATCGACATAAATACCTAAGGTAGTAACAAAATATCGTCGGCGTAAATTGAAGGTTTTTGCAACGCTTGGATCTGAGCTCTCCGCTTTATATGTCTGAATTTTCTCAAGCAGAGAGCTACTCTTCTGCAGCTATGAATGACCCATCAGGAATGAATTGCATATGCACGAACGGTTGCTCTTTATAATTGACTGTTGCAAGTTGTAGATAATCTCTGAACTTTTGGATAAGACTTTGTTTACCATTTATAAGGATATGGGCCACGTTTCTGGTTTTCGTATGGAATTTTTCAAGAACTTTTGAACAGGTTTAATGGTACATGTTTAATTAAGGTCCTTTTAACCCATCAAGCCAGCCTTTTTTATAGAGTTTGTTTTAACACTGTTTTAACATTTTTTTTTATTATTTAAGTAATTGCAAAATGTATACACCTCTCTCTCTCACTCTCATACATGTTAGAAAAGTACATACACACACTCATAAATAAACATATAGTATACATACGTAAGGATAAATACGTTTCAATATACGTATGATATACATAAACATAAACTTATGCAATATGCAGTGCTTATTCAATCAGTTATTATGTTAAGAGTTACTATTAAACCCATAAAAAAGACATTTCCACTTGGACCATCTATTTTTATAAAATATATTTCCTGACAATTATTCTTCTAAACAATAGTGATTGTTTAAATATTTTAAGATATCATTAAAAAACAATATTATTATTTTTTCCCTGATTATTGAAATAAATTTTTCCTCACTAGTAATCAAATTAATTGCCTTGTGATCTTTTTTCCAAATTACCAAAAAATAAAAGTTTTGACATCAAATACAATTCTTGTATCAGACTTTTGAAAAATTAATCTGACAATGCTAACCAAATCATAGAAACCTGTGGACAGTAGAAAAACAATTGTTTGTTTGATTCTTGTTTTAAGTTTCATATTGAACAAAGTGGTGATTTTTACTCCAGCCCTAGAGGCTTGAGTTATCTAAAACGAAGCTAGGTCATCGAGTTACTCAGTTTAAGTTAAAAAAATATATTTTTGTAGATAAAAATATTTCTAGAAACGAAAATAAAGCTTATCTTGAAAACGTCTGCATATACAAGGATTCTATATTATGGCAAATGAACAATGAGTGAAGCTCCGAGCCGCAGCAGTTTCTATACAGAGATTTCACGCTTCCCTTTGCGTAGGAATCTTAGGTAACTTTTTTCAGTCGCCGACAAAACATCCTTGTACGAGTCCACTGCATACTCTGAAAGGTGACGCAGGTAACCCCATCGTTAACAAATTCTACAACGCATGGCCAGAAAATATACGGTTGTACCCACAACTGAAATTGCTTTTCACAGGCCTGCAAATGATGTGTACTTTGAGTGACAGTAAATTAATAACACAAAATTAACTTTAAATTCTTGTATTATCTTAAATTAAGCTTTGGTAACGGAACCTATATTATAATAACTTCTTTTGGATTCGTACGGAATATGTATTGGACATGCCGCTCAGTTAATTGAACCACATCCTCTCTAACCACGGTCGGGAGTAGGAGAGGATAGTACATTTTGGCTATGGTTTGCAACGATGGATGAACCCGTAGTTACGCGCATGGATTTTTAGAGCCCAGAGCCAGCCCCCCCCCCCTTTTCCATTCTGAAAAACTTTTCTACAGGCTTGTAGCAAGCTATTCAGATTGATGTATATATTGAATGTGATGTACGTCGTTAAGCAAAAATACAAAAAAAACGTATATAGTAGTAGTTTGAAGTATACTGTCTGCATAAAAAAAATATTCCATTAAATTAAGAAACGGCAACGTTACTTTGCTTTATAAAATATTCCTGAAAGTGTGCCACGTTAATTCATCTTAAAAAGTGGTACGGTTAGTTATATTTCTTCCAACTAAATTCAATATATGAATTTCGTTTCATATGCATGTACATGAAGTTTATTCAATAGAAGATTTAATTCAGAAGCCCTCATCTTATACCATTTTAGGATATTAATGACACTTCCTAACTGACTTTCTACAACTTGAGTATTTTGACTTTATTCTCCCATTAAAATTTATCTTAAGGTTTTTTCGGAGAGCTGTATCCACTGCAAACTTGCTTTTGGAAGAGATGTGAATAATTGAGTGAACTTTGATAGCAACAAACTTTTAACTACTGTTATTTTTCCTTAAAGGGAAAATATTTCGTTTTGACCAATTGTTTATTTGTTGAATAAGTTTAATCATCTTGTCAAAGTTAAATTCCTCCATTTTTTAAGAGTTGCAGTATATGTTGTACCAAGAACAGCAAAAGGTTCGGTCGTCCATTTTAATCGGTCTCATTACAATTGTATTTTCTGTGTTTTAACAATTCTTAACGCATTCCCTATGTAAAATGTTGATAAAATTGACCTTCATTATTTTTAACCATATTTTTTCTCTTAAACCCTTTTATTTCAAGAAGTTTATAAATAAAATACTAGAGTACATTGTTGTATCAGCTTTATCGATGACATCCATATACTTTGGCTGAAAATGCAAATACAGAAACAAAACACAGAATCGAAATATCTGCCACTGTTCTTTAATTTTGAGTTACTCCCCTTAACATCTAATTATTATTCATAATGATGAAGAGGTTGTTTGTTTCTATTGTCCATTTGAGAATGTGTGTAGCTTTTTTCAAGTAAGTTGTTTCTGACTTTGTTTACAAATCATGTTTTTCTTACGATTATTCCTTTGTGTATTTTTATATGTGAAGTAGAGAACAGAGTGGAAAAGCACACTCTAAAATCATTTTTATAAATTATATAAGAAATAACAGTCAATTTTTTCGGGAGTATAAAGTTTATATATAATTAAACAAAATGTGTTTCTTAATTTTTTTTTTTTTTTTTTTTTTTTTTTTTTTTAGCTGAGTATATGTTGGTACCTAAAGTAAGGTTTTTTCACAAGTAATACAAATGTGAAATATAAAACCCTAGAATTACCTGTTCGAAGGTTATGGCCAAGGTTAACGTTTTTAAATGTGGGGAAAAACTCCGGTGTCAAGGTCAAAAGGACAAGATTGTTGGTTTCTTAAAATAAACCATGTCTCAAAGATTACATAAGGGAAGTATGAAAGCATTGGCCCTTACCATTCGAAAGTTATGGTTAAGGTTAAAGTTTGTAAAAAGTAGGTCCAACTCCAAGGTCAAAGGGTCAAAGTTCTTGATATCCAATAAAAGGTCTTCTCACAAAGATTACATACGTGAAGTATGAAAGCACTAGCTCTTACCGTTCAACAGTTATGACTAAAGTTAAATGTTTTCGTAAGTACGAAAATCTCCAAGGTCAAGGTCAAAAGGTAAAAATTATTGATTTCAATTGGAAGGTCTTGCCACAAAACTTGATATTACAAATATGAAATTCCAAGTATCTACCGTTTAAAGATTAGAGCCAAAGTAATAGTTTAAATTTTTTGTGAAAAAATGGGTCAAAATCTAAGGTCAAAGTCAAAGGGTCACAGTTCCTAATATCAAATGAAATGTCTTGTCACAGGAATTGCATATGTGGAGTATAAAAGCCCTGGTCCTATCCCTCCAAAAAATTAAGGTCAAGGTTGTATTTTTTAAGTAGGTCCAACTCCAAGGTCAAATGGTCAAAGTTCTTGGTATCCAATGAAGCGTATTCTAACAAGAATTACATATGTGAAGTATGAAAGCCCTAACCCTTACCGTTTAAAAGTAATAGCCAAGGTTAAAGTTTTTTCATCAGTACGGAAATCTCCAAGGTCAAGGTAAAAAAAGCCAAAGATGTTGGTACTCAACTAAAGGTCTTTGCACAAAAAATATATACATGAAATATAAAAGTATATCCTTGTACATACTGATCAAAAGATATGGCCAAAGTTAAAGTTTAGAATTTCTAAGTAAAAGTGGGTCAAACTCCAAGGTCAAGGTCGAAAAGTGAAATTTTATTGGTACCCAGAGAAAGGTCTTGTGACAAGGAATACACATGTGAAATATAAAAGTCTTATCTCCACTAAATCAAAAGGTCTTTCCAGAAAGGATACATATGGGAAGTATAAATGTCCTGGAATCTACTGTTCAAAAGATATGGCCAAAGTAAAAGTTAAGACTTTTTGTGTAGTTGGTCAAACCCCAAAGTCAAAGGGTCAAATTTGGAGGTATCCAGTGAAAAGTCTTGTCATAAGGAATACGCATGTGAAATATAAAAGTCATAGCTCCACTAAATTAAAAATTATGGGCAAGGTTAAAGTTTTTGCGGTAAAACAGACAAACAGACAGATAGTCAGCCAGACAGCCGGACGGACACGACAAAAATTATACTTAGTTAACGAAAGCATAATAAAAGACGGTAAATTTACACTAGCTTTAATGTGTTATTTACATCAATTGGTTTTGTGATGTCATAAAAACTCAAATTCAAGAACTATAAGCGAGTTACAAATGTATCAAGTGGGCAAATTTATGCCCTCATTTTTCTGTTAAGCAAAAGGCAATTTTTTAACCCAACGTAATTTGGCATTTTTTCGTACCAGTCATAATGTTTAAAAAGTTAAATCCTAGTGTTGTGCACTGTTTTGTGTGACCATATGAGGAATAAGATGTGTTTTCAAAAACACTATGCGCCCGACGACAACAAAGTTTAAGAAAAACACATTTTAGCATATAGATCAATGTCAAAGTCACAAGGTCATTAATATTGTATCATTCAAGGAACTTTTTTAGTGGAGTATGCATTACAAAAATGAAGTTTCTATATCTCGTGGTTTAAAATTTATGGTGAAGATTAAAAAAAGTTATTTTTAGCATATAGGTTACAGTCAAGGTCACAAGGTCATTTACTTTGGTGTCATATCAAAGAGATTCATTGGTGGAGTATGCATATTAAATATGCAGCTTCTATCTTTCATGGTTCAATGGTTACGGTGAAGGTTCAAAAAGATACTTTAGCATATAGGTCACAGTCAAGATCACAAGGTCATTGACTTTGGTATCATTTGAAAGAGATTAATTATCGGAGTATGCATACCAAATATGAAGTCTCTAACTTTCGTGTTTTAAAAGTTATGGCGAATGTTAAAGTTTGAAGAGAAAACTATTTTTAGCATATAGGTCACAGTCAA